ATGATTTGGCCCCAGTTCAGGTTACGGAGGAAGGGACAACATGTTCCTAGAGTGCAGGAAGCTGGAGGTCAGCTGCTCTGCTGTGCTGCTCTGGGACCGATTGCCTCCTCGTAGCTTGTCATTGTTTACCTTCCAACGTGCCTGAATGCCTTTGGTGGACTTTAGCCAGGGGTAAGTCAGCATTTGCAAACCACTGACGCAGAAAAGACAATGACTGCCCAGTAAGGCTGTCCTTCAGGAGAAGGGATTGATTACCCCAAGAGAGAATGCATGTTTTTTTCCCCAATATTGATACTTAATTCTTTCTTATTTGAGGGGAATGGAATACTCTTTCAAGCATTCAGCCTTCTCTTGAGTGAAATTTCTGTTGACTGTAGTGGGATTAGCTTGAAAGAAAACTGCAGTCTTTGTCCTACACTTTCCTTTGAACTGCAGTTAGCGCTTGCCCGTAGCATGTGTCCTTATTAACCCAGACTGTAAAGACGTCTTATTTTAGCTTCCAGATTAAGAGCATGAACTCTTGAGCTGTGTTGTAAAGTGCCTTCCTGTGCTTTTTTTTTTTTCAAATTGATCAGAAGTGTAGGACACCTGAATTTCTTGAAAATATATAAATAACAAGCAATTTTACTATATCTTAACATCAGGATAGCATACCACCTATGGCAGCTATTCACTGTTAGTTGATCTTTCATACTCTGTGCCAAAAGTACTGCATATTCAAAAAATAAATAAATAGCAAATTTTTGTACCAACAAATTTTATGAACAGGGAAAAGGATGGGGGCGGTGGAAGTACATGAATTGAAAGGGAAGAATTTCCAAATAATCTCCAGTACAGGTAAATTCAGATAGTTGCAAACCAAAATGTCCTAAAGTGCAAGTGGGAATTTTGTATCTGCACAGCTCTGGGCAGAGGCTCCAGTGGCCTAACCATGGCGTCTGCCATCTCCTGAGCCGCTGGTCGTGTGGCTACTGAGAGCCTTGGAAAGATTCAAGTGATTGACCTTTTGATGGGCAGAATTCCCACTGCAGCTGCAGTGAACTGCATCTGTCCTTCAATCCTAAGAGGAAGAGAGGAAGAGGAGAGGGGCTGGGAGAGGTCATTGAAGGGGAACTTTGTAAGGATCTGTGAGATTAGTTCCCAAAATGGGGCTGTGTTGTTCTGGCAGTCACCTCATGATGCAGACAATGGGAGAGATGGTGTCTGAAGAGTCTTCAGGTAATGATTAACTTGAGTTTTGTCCTGACACTTCACCCTTATTTAAATATTTCATTTGTATAAAAAATTGTGAGTGCAAGTAGTTGTTTGGGGTTTTTTTTATACATGTCTCTCTCTTGAGTGTAGATTGTCAAAATAGCACAGAGTGCTATCTTTGGGGATGTATCACAGTGATTTAGTAGACCTAGTGGCCTCTGGATACTAAAAGACTGTGTTTGTGAGAGAGCAGATGGAACCAATTCTGCGTTTCATGTGCTTTAATAATTTAGAGAACCCATCATTCGTCAGAGGTAAAAATATTAGCAATTTAGCCCCGCTACTACTATGGCTGACAACATGGCACTCTGTTATCAGTGCAGTGAGCTGTACTGTACCTCCAGCCTTCTGCAGCATGGGACAGCTGTAACTGGGGGGGAAGGATGTCTTTAAAAATGTTCATAACAGATAGGTTACCATCCAGCAGCCCATAGTGTCAAGGGATGTCAGAAGAAAGGAATTCAAGCTGCTTTGAAGTCCATGGCATGAAGTGTCTCTGTCATAAACCTGATCTTTTTGGTGTGAGATTAGCTGTTTGATTTGTATATCATAGTAGGTTTCTGGGGAAAAAAAAAAAAGGTAGAGGAACTAGTTTGATCTGTTTGGTTACTTCCATTTTCTGGCCCTGGTGCCATAGGGCGGCTGCAAGGATTGCAGTGTTGGAGACATGCTTAGATGATGCAGAACCACCCAAACCCCACATCTACTTCAGTGCCAATTGAAACGCCTTTCTAATTTTTTTATTTTATCAATACATTTTAACTTTGTTTAGCTGTGTTCCAAAACACCAAAGTTTTAACTACACACTGATACAGCTTTTAGTTTTCATTTTGCAATAGGTGATTCTGAGATTCTGTGGATGATTCTTTTTTAAACACTGTGTCTAGGGTCTTAGAAACATACTGCTTCTGTAAAGCAGAAAGACTGGCAAAGCGTACTTCACCCCACAGACTGAAATCTTGGAAATGGCTGTAACAGTGGTGAATGTTACTATAAATAATCTTTCAGTAAATCTCTTAAGAGGTCAGTGTCTGTGGGCAAATTAGAAATCTGGGGGTTTGACTTACCTGTTCCTTTTTAACTGTCTTCTGGATGTGCTTACTGCGTGCAGAATCTTATTGAAACCTGTAGTCTGCTTGTCACCTGTCTTGGTGTTGTAGGCAGGAGTACTGTAATTAAACCCTTTTGATTATGTGCCTTTGCAATGTATACAGTAATGAAGGGGACTAAGTCAAACTCATGCAGTTAATTTACTCAGGTCATGCCCTGCCTAGCACAAAGGGACTTAAAAAGGAAGGGAATTGCATGTTAAAAAAAAAAACTGCTCGGTTGCCTATAAATTTCTTTACCAAAAAAGCTCACGGAAACTGGCTGGCACTCCAGAAAGCAGAACAGGGTTTTGAATCCAGCTCTTCCATGGCTGCTGCTGCATTTTTAAGAATACTTACGTAATTTGGGTGCTCTTCTAAGCATCCCTGGTGCTAATATCACCATTCTTAGTGGAAATGGTCCCTGAAGGCTCGGTTGCAGCACTCAGTATCTTCTACAGTACAGTCATGAGAATCCTTGTGCAGGAGTTTCTCAAGTACTGTGGATTAAGGCTTGAAAAGTTATTTTTCTCTTTCTTACTGTTGGATTTGGCTGTTGCTTTTTAAACCCTTACAGCCCTTACGTAATAGAGCCAGGCAGACAGCTGAGCTTCCTTGTAGCAAATGAGCATAAGTGTGAACGTGTGCATGGCCTTTGGCTACCAGACGAGCTCCGTTACCTTGGACTACCTGCAAAGGCAGGGCTGGTAATACTGTAAAATCACAGCAGTTAAATCCCATAATGTCTGCCTCTCTGAGTCCTAAAACAGGAAGTTGTGGGAGGTTGCACCGCAGTTAGGAATTATGGAAACAGCTGTAGCCCTGTGGAGTTAGCAAGGCCAACGTAGACGCAAAGGGAATGAGCAATTAGAACAGTTGAAATACTTTCTCTGCCACAGATGTGATCCTTCTCCTACAAATCAAGTACATTGTTGAGAAGGTTCAGAGAGAAGCAAATGCTTCTTTTCTCTCCTCCTTCAAGTGTAAAAGACCTTGGATTAAATCCTCAGCCCTACTCTTGTCTGGGGTAAAAGAGCCAGGACATGATAAAGGAGATCCAGAAGATAACAAATCCGGATGTGGTGGAAGCCTATTGCCTTCTTTCTCAGTGCAGACAGCTGCTTTCCCAAAATCACCTCCCAAAGCCCTGTCAAATGGGAACTATGGTTTTACCTGTTACCTGCCATCCGAGGTATTTCACATGCACTTCAATTTTTCACAAAAAAAGTGAGAGAAAAAAAATGTGATTTTTTTTTTTTTTTTGATAAAGAAGACCATGCAGTTAGTGTGTGGGATGATTAAGGTTTTTTTGTTAGCTTCTAAATTTTAGCAGTAGACTTGCCAGTAATGCAAGGGGATGCAACAGCATTAAAACTGTTTGATTAGCAACTTCTCTTTTATACCTGGAGAATGAGTTTTGATCTGTTTCCATTTCCAGTGTCTAAGTTGCCAAGAATTTGAAATGCTATAGCTGAGGCATCTAGAAAATGTCATCACCACTTGTCAGTTTACGAGAGGCTTGTCATAGGCTTAGCAGCTCTGAGAAGCTGTAGGTTAGTCTGGCCAAGGAGGGACAAAATGCTTCACCACATGGTGTTTCAGATCAATGGGGGGATAATAATACCCGTATTCACCAATCAATTAACTGTACAAGTCCCATTTTTGTCAAACATTCTGCCCTGTGGTGATCAGCTTGCACATGCAAGTCATCAACCTGTGTCCTGGGGTGCCCAGACACTCCTGACTGAAAAGTGTTGCTTGCCATGTGTTTGAGCGAAACCCTGACTTGCCGATGCAAAATAAACCCATAGCTGCATGTACACAGATGGATGAGGATGGGATTATTCAAGGTCAAGTTATCCTGTCTGTGCTAACGCAGTAGGAGATTAATGAAGGAAGGATTTTGCTGTTAAAAATGACCCACTACACTTCCACCATGTGAACAGACACTGTCTGTACTGCACTTGGAAATGTAGCTGCAGTCCAGCAGGATGCTCCCAACCTAACTTTAACCAATCTGGATCAACTGACCATGTAGCAAAGATACGGGAGCATGGACACCAACTGCTTACTTACAGCCCTTGGTGGGCTTGTGCAGCCTGGGCTGAAATCTCCATTATTTCGTTTCTGCTGTGCTGTTGCTACTCAACCTGTAGTACGGTTCACCCTTCTCATTGCAGTGTGGACACAGCCTCAGCAGCCAGAGTGAAGTCAGTGCGCTCTTCTTCTTGATCAGGATTACAGGAGGGCAGCATGGCATCTGGGGCAGCCCCAAGCTTCCTTCTCGTAGGTGCTCTGCTGCCAGTGCTGTGAAATACCTCTCCCCAGATCTGAGCAGCCGGCTGATGGTCCGTGTGGTTTGCCTCCGCAAGGGTGGGATTTATTTCTAGTAGTGACATGGCACAAAAGGAAGTGCTGTGTGAAATTACTGCTCTCTCGCTCTCTTTTGTACATATCCGAGAGTGAATTCCCTCCCTTTTTAGTTTGTATTTCAAGGCAAAATAGCTGATTCTTTTGGGTTGATGGAAGAATCCAGATCAGTCTGTTGAAACCTGGCATTAAGTGTCCCTTATGTGCTAGAACGGAGGAAATAATTATCTTTAATTACTTTGGTTTTCCTTTGCTTGTTCTAAATTCCCCTGGGCGTCTCTTGAACAGGCACAGAGTCCTTGGCTTCCCCACTATGGAGCAGTTGATGTCCATTTTACTGGCATGGCTGACTGTTTCCGGCAAACCGTAAAGAACAAAGGTGCGCTTGGACTTTGGAGTGGACTCACACCCAGTCTGCTCAAGGTGAGGTTTTGCTTTCATCCCAGTCAAAGACTACCCTGAAGTAATCAAGACACCCTTTTGGACAGCTAGGGTTATAAAGCATATGATGTGCCTCCGTACTTATTAGCAGCTTATAGATGACAGAGTCCATGACAGGACAGATATAACCTCAGGCACGTTATAAACCAGCTTTGGAACTTGGCTTGGTCATATTTCCCCAAATGTAAGCTTGGCTTCTAGATGTCACTGCTTTCAAGTTCATTTGAATGTCCTTAGAGAAGGGAGCGCTGCTAACACAGAAGCCAGGGTATGGATGGGAGATTGCAAGTGATCCACTTACGTCAGCTAAACAAGTTCTACTTCTCAGCTGAGCTCCAGTAATTTGACATGTTGTACCAAGCTCTAAAGAAAATCGCACTTTTATAAGCCACTTCCCCAGAAGTCAAAAGTTGTACTTTTAACCAGCTATTTAATGCACACCTATCAGTTAACTACAGCCCTTGCCTAGTTGAAAGCATGAAATAGAGCACAGTAGCTTAAACAGAAGGTAATTTGGTTTACATAAATATATTTTATACTGCTGCGGTGAGGATTACCTACATGGAGTACTACAGATCAGCTAATGAGTGGTAATTGAGTGACAATGTGATTGATTGCGATGGCCTGACTGTGCCTGCCCCTACCTTGGCTGCTATAAAGCCACACGGCACCAGAGCTGCTGTTACTGCATGGGGCAAAAGAAGAAAATTGTTCAGGTGCTCTGCTGTATGTAGAATAAATCCCACATTTCCTACCGGGATTTGCTGAGGTTGCTTAGGATTTGCTTAGGTGTTTGACAAGTTGTGATAATCTATAGCACAGACCCTGTTCCTCACAATACTGTTATAATGAGTTACGTACCAATAATAAACTTCTGCTTTTAGCATGCTGCAGGTGCCAGCCTAGTTTGAGGTGAGACTCTGATTTTATATAAATGGGCACAGCTCTGTTAGCAGAACGGATCACACTTGAAGTCTAGAAGTTTCCTTTTTTAAAATATCTAAGCTAAGAATGCTACTAGTGAGTCAATTACTGCTTTTCTATCTTGTGTTCCTTTTTTTTATTTTATTTTATCAGATTGTCCCATACTTTGGTGTTATGTTTAGCACCTTTGAATTCTGCAAGCGGGTCTGCCTGTACAGAAATGGTTATATTGAATCTCCTTTAAATTACAAGCTAACTCCTGGCGTGGATCAGAGTTTACAGCCACAAGAACTGAGAGAATTAAAGCTCCTCCGAAGGGAAAATTTTGAGTCAAGGAAATCGGCTCTTGAAAACTGATGTTGGAGTGTTCCTTGCAGATACACACACTAACTTTCTTAAGGAACTTTGCAAGAAAGGCATGCTGAACTACAGGAACCAGCATCTCAGCAGATCGCATGGGTTTAGTACTTGAGACAGCAGTGCCAGGAATGAGTAAGTCTTGTATCTCATTTGCTGAATGGCTATAAACAATATGAATAGCAAGCATATACTGAAGAGGAGAGATGCAACTAGCTTGAAAACACTGTGCTATTGGAACTTGAAATTACATTATTCTAGGTGCTTTTCAATACTGAATAGCCATTTTGAGATAAAACCACTTCGCAGAAAGGCAAGAGAACAGAGATGAGTGTATAAATTGTATCTTCAAAAATATTAAGAAAATTCAAAAGGATTTTTTTTTAAGTAATCTGAGATACCAAGTCAGCCAAAAATGATAAGCAGACTAGAATACATACACCATGCAAGAATTCCTACTGAAATCTCTTATTTTTTTTAGTGATACTGTGTGGACGTGACATTCTGCAGATGCAGAATTAGTCGCAGCTCAGTCACACTCCAGAGTCCACTCTTAGTTTTTGAGAGTTGAGAATAACAATTTTGTATGAATCTTTGGTGTAAAGTTGAAAATATGCTGCTGCAACTGTGCTTTTGCTAAGAGAGAACAGTAATGTGCAAAATGAGCTGTAATACACTGGAATGAGAATCTTGCAAACTGAAGTGCATACTAGACAATCTTCCCCCCCTTTCTCCTGTGTTGTTACTGCATGTATGTGAATTATTTCAGGCTTTGAAAAACAGTTTTCCTGAAGTTCTCTAACTGAAATGTTTCCTGAAAAATGCACTTCTTAAATGTGTTAGATATTCAGAGCCACCAGCCTTGTCATGTTGTTCCGGTATTCTTAAAGCTCTATTTTTATATTAAACTACTTTTTAGTTCCTGTGCACAGACCCAGGCCTACTGTGCTACTCAGAACTTGCCAGCAGAATAGCACAGTGTGCACAACCTGTGATTTTTATTTTTATTTTTTCCCCACTTTAGCTGCTGTGATTCAGGAGCCACAGATAGTTTCTGTAGATAGGAACTTCTCTGCAAGACCACTAGGTTCTTGTTAGTGCCAACACAATTCATAGGACTCTGACCAGCTCAGGGAGCTCGTGGACAACAAAAGATCATCTTGGTATGATACCTGAGGACCTGCTCAAGGACCTGAGGACCTTGCTCCGGTTCCTTTGTAGAAGTACAGCTATGGGCAATTCACAGGACTCTGACCAGCCCAGGGAGCTCGTGGACAATAAAAGATCATCTCGGTATGATACCTGAGGACCTGCAGTATTGCTCCGGTTCCTTTGTAGAAGTACAGCTATGGGACAGCCCCATTCTAGTGCCTTCTGATAGAAAACCTTAAACCCCATGTCTACGTAGGAAGGTGGCTCTGCCCTCTGCGGCATGTCCCACCAGCCTCAGGCCAAGGCAGCGTGTGAATCGCAGCAGCTCGGGAAGGCGTGGGGCACCCGGCT